ATTGAGCTTTTTACTCTTTGAAACTTTGATAAATTAATTTCAATTCATATTATCTTACAACCTTTCTTAAAAGAATTGCCTTGTTTTTTCAGAATTGCTTTGAATGCGCCTTCAACTCGTGAAAAATATTTAGATGATTTGGTATGTGAAATTGAAAAGATGGGTGAAGGTATTTTAGAGTGGTTCGAAGAATTTGGTGATAAAATTAATGGTGAGATGAAAAATGGTATGAATGGAAATGGTTGTGTTGATTATGCAAATGGACATAATATGGGAAGTGATGAGATGAACGGATTCAACCGATAACACAATTTCTATAAATTCATTAGAAAAAATATTTATTAATATCCTAATTAGAGATAATGCTTAGAAAGTTCCATTTTAAAGGACATAATAAATAGATTATATTTTTTAGAAGTTTCGTATTTCATGTAATTTATTCAGTTATAATAACAACGCGAAATTTTAATTACATAATTGATCGGTAACGCATAAAGAGTTCATTTAATTTTGCATTTTGAGAAATGTACACTTTAATTTACTTCATATTAAAATAAACCGCAAATTGTTTATTCATAATAATAAGACAATTGAACTTTCATTCGTTAGAAGTTTCGTATTTCATGTAATTTATTCATAATAACAACGCGAAATTTTAATTACATAATTGATCGGTAACGCATAAGGAGTTCTTTTAATTTTGCATTTTGAGAAATGCACACTTTAATTTACTTCATATTAAAATAAACCGCAAATTGTTTATTCATAATAATAAGACAATTGAACTTTCATTCGTTGCAAATTACAATAACACTTTTTCTAATCTTTAGCAATTTCCTAAGTATTATTTACACCTTATACTTTTGGACGATACACCATAATTTATCCCTTAATGTTGCGTTCTGCCTGTCCTTTCAATTCAGTCGCTTTTCCTTCTGCCTTCATTTTAGTATCGTCAATAGCATCACCGGTAGTTTTTTTGGATTTTCCGGTTGTTTCGTCTTTGATACCTATTTCAGTATAAAATAAATATTAATGGGAAAGAAATAAAAGATCACATAGAAGCTATAAAGAAAGAATACCTTCAGCTTTGCCCGCCATTTTTGCGGCTTCATATTCTGTTTCTCCTATTAGTTTGAATTTTTAAGTCCATTTTTAGTATAATAAAATTTATATATTGTATATCACAACATAGAGTTATGTCAATAATAACCTTCGATTTTATTTTCTCTTCCTTCAGCTTCCATTTTCTCACTACCTATGGCTTTACCGTAATTTTCTTTAACTGCGCCTCCGTAGTACTTAGAATCAGCACTAATTTTGGATGGTTGCTCTGACATGATTCAAGTTAATTCTTTTAAGAAAGGTTGTAAGATAATATGAATTGAAATTAATTTATCAAAGTTTCAAAGAGTAAAAAGCTCAAT